AACTTACAAACAATATAAAATCTTCTTTCTAGTTTGGAACTCCCTTGATATCTTATCGAGGGTTTACGATGAGCGAGTTAATTACGAGTTGATGTAAGTACGATTCGCCATGAAGCTAGCTAGCTTTGTCCTTGGCCACAAATGCTGAGTTTTCCACGGTTGAAGTTAGGTAATGTTTTCGTAAAAATACTAATGTCAGATGAGAATCCACTGAAGTTAAACGATTTGTAATATTCGAAATTTATAAATATTCCTGGTCAAATATCTCAAGTTTTCCGATTGATAAGCGTTATAAAAATGAGTTGTAGCTTTCGAAGTTTATAGCACACTGATTATAGTTATTTGGCCTGTCACATCAGTTATTTGTAGCCGTGGGAAGGTTTTCTAGAAAATTCAGTCTTGCGTAACAATACTGAGCAACATTTAAACGTTTAAGTATATACACATTGTTGATTCTTGCGCTCGAGAATCTTCTACAACTTTGGAGAATAGGCGGGAGTTTCGCAATACATTTTTAACACTATAAGCTACGCATGTTTTAAAATATAAACTTAATCTAAACAAACGTTCATATTCAAATAAATGTATAACAAATTCGTTACAACCACAAACCCTCTTAATACACCTTAATTTTTTCTAACTCATCCAAAACTAACAACCTATTGCTTTATTCTAACATATCCCAGATCTCTTTAAATACCCTTCAACTGCTATTTCCCACATCCAAAACCCTCTTAAATACCCTTTGCCTTTCAGTTAACACATCTCAAACCCTCTTAAACACCATTTGGCTTTTATCTAACACACAGAAACCCTATCAAAACCCATTTGATTTTATTTAACATATCCCAAACCCTCTTAAACATCCTTCTACTTATATTTGAACACACCCAAACCCCTCTTAAATAACCTTCTGTTTTTATCTAATACATCCCAATACCTCTGAAATACACTTTGACTTTCAGTTAATCCAGATTGTCGAACAGTGACAATTTTTCAGATCTGTCTAATGCTACTAGTTGTCTTCCCTTCTCTATTTTACTTGCATTAATCAAAGACCTTGTATCTCTAAACTTTCTGGACTGAATAGACTGTCTTAAAGTCCATTGTTCCATGGACTTTTTCACCCTTCCACAGTCCACTACATGTGCGTATTTTCGACCTTTCCACTTCGTTAGCAGTAATATACTTCCAACTTTATAAAATCTTGACTTTGTTATCGCTCATCGCGAACAAACAATTTTATTCAATACCACAAAGATCATAATAAAATAGCGAAAATAATCTCTGGAGTTATAATAGGGCGTTCTGCTGCTTATATTACTTCACTACAGTTTGTTCTGCAAATCAGGGATTATGGAAATTCTCTATTTTTGTTTGCCTCCTCCCCCCTCACCCCGTGGCTCAGAGATGAGGATGCTGACTTGTAACTCTCAAAATCGGGTTTCGATACCCATGGTGGACACAGCACAGATAGCCCATTGTATAGCTTTGCGCTTAGAAAGAATCCTGACAGGTCGGGCATAGCTTAGCGTTAGAGTGCCCGAACTGTAAATCAATTTCTGCTATTTGATTCATCTTTTTCCTCCATCTTCATTCCCGCTACTTCGTCCCTCCCTCTCTCTGCCCTCAAGTGGCTCAGCGGTATGTTTACAGACTTGTAACGCTAAAAATCGGGTTTCGATACAAGTATTGAGCACAGAACAGTTAGCTCCTTGCGTAGTTTGTGCTTAATTACAAACTAGCAGAGACCCGTATAACAGTTGTTGTCAAATTAATGTATGTAGTACAATAGTACTTCTTTAAATATAGCATTTCTAGAATAATACAAAAGAATTATAATTGCAGACACCGAAATCTCAGTCTACTTGTCTTAGGCCTAACATTAGTTAAGCCTTTATTAAGTACGGCTTATATTCAATAAAGGAGACAAATTAACACCGTAATTTGGGTATTTTGTTTGCTTTAGTTTCGTTAGGGATAAACTTTACCGTACTTAATATTATCAATAAATAAACATGTAATGTCATTGTACGACCTAACGTTAGATCTTTTTGAAAACTTTAAGCATCTGATATGTTGTATAAAATGTCTACTAAAGTATCTTTACATCCGCCTTTTGTTTACATCCATTGAAATGAAGTGCGCGCGCATTTTCAGGACAGACAAAAACTGAGTATTATTCTAAATCTAGTAGATAAACACCCCCCCCCTCTCTCTCTTGGTCTTCCGTTACCGTTGTTCCTAGATTTCTGACGTTTCCACATCGTTAGCAGTAATCTGCTTCCGACTTTACTTGACTTTTCTCTCCTAATAAGATATCACTAATTGTTATTCTATTATCCATTTTAAATGAAACTTGTTACTTTGGTTAACGAACATTAACTGCTGAAACCTGCTTTACGAAGAATCCATTTTTGTCCCAGATGTCACTCCATTATCTGCACTTCTTGTTTTAAACATTACATTTAGCAGATATTTGCATCGTTGTGTGATGTCAAGTAAATATACAAACTTACTGAAACATTCGTCATCCGGAACATCAACGGAGTGATAATAATAAGTATCGATTTCTTAATTGTT